TCCAGGCAGCACAATAAAATACTTTAGCCCCCCCCATGTTGTTTTTCCCCCCAGACAAACATATCATTCAGAATATTTGCATGCAGGATAAAAGTTTCCAGGGGTTTGTTCAGTATAAAACACATAGGTCAAAAGTTAGCTGGAGGAACCAGGTATCCAGGGGATGAACTCCAGTGGCTAGCCTTAAGGCTTGCCCAGTCTCAAAGTTAGTCAGGGTCCAGGTTAAACATCAGGGCAAAGATCAGCAAGCCTGGCAGAATCAGGCCTCGTTGAGAGGATTTTGGGTACGTGGAAGCTTTCATTTGGATGGTCCTGGGTCGTCCTGTGGAGGTGTAGGCTTGACGTGAGATGCATGGATCCAGGCTGCAAGATCGTCCACTTTGAGGGCAGTAGGTGTAGGGTCCCTTTCAGCGAGGTCCAAGATTCTGGGACCGGTGTCTCCGAACGTACACAGAATCGCCAACCTGGAACGGGTGTGAGATTTCCGGGTGCCCGGGCTGGTGTTGGGAGGTGCCAGCAGAGAAGCAGGGAGAGTAGCCTAGTCCAGCGGGCAGCAGCAGGGATAGCTAGGGCCCCGTTACGGAGGGTCTAGTCTGGCCTGCAGCAGCAGGGATAGCTAGGGCCCCTTTAGGGAGGGTCTAGTCTGGCCTGCAGCAGCAGGCTCTGGTCAGATAAATACCATTTTATGTCCCAAGTCCTTCCCGACACCCATGGAGACAGTCCCGCTTCTCGCCCCTAGGAGACAAGTGGGGGAGATGTCTGAACCCCCTTGTCTAAATATTTTCTCCAGGGGAAAATCTGCCAGCCTCCAGGGGCAGCTGTGGGGGATATGTATCTCAGATATCCCAGGAGGCTAGCTAGCCCTGCTACTAGTTGACAGAAATCAGGGGTGAGGGCAGGGGTATCAAAGCAAGGGCTTGAGGAGGCATGGATTGCAGGTATGAGCGGGCAGCTGCTGTTCTGGCTGTGGGGTGCTGTAGCTTTTTTCATGTCCCTCCGGATATACCCCAGGCGTCAATTCTGGAACGAATGTGAGATTTTCAGGTGTCAGGGTGGCCAGGGGTCTCTATGCCTGGGCTCGGAGATCTGGAGAGCCTTCAACCACTCCTGCAGATGGGGTTTGTGAGCAAATGGGTCATGAGGGGCCTTAGGAAACTAAGAGGGGGGGTCCTCCATATTGGATCTCATAGGGGGTTAGTCCAAGCTGAGACGGGGTGTTTCATACACAGAATGGGGCTAAGGAAAGGAGCTGTACCCAGTCTCTAGTGTCAGATTCCAAAGGCCAATTTGGTAAGGGTCTTTATTTATCCTTTTTACCTGTCCTGAACTCTGGGGTCTGTATGTACAATGTAATTTTTTTTTTATTAAGTCCTGGAGGGAGCATCTCTGCCGTCCCTCCATTCTCTGCAACTTGCTGTCTGATGCTGACTGGCCTATAAAAGACATCACTACATTGGCTTGGCGATCTGCTGCCATGGGATTAAAATGAGTTTACATCCTGTACCGCTCTAATAGTCTTTCTAAAAATCCTGTAGGAGTACTATCAGACCTTTGCTCTTACCTTAGCCAAATTAGCAAATTAGTGGGGTGCTTTGCAACCCCCCTCCTTTTTTTT